TGTACAGCTGTCATCTTTACTGGTGGTCAGCCGGTTGATTTTCGCCCTACAGCAACGAAGGGAGACAGCTGACTATCTGTTAACTCCGATCGAAAGCCTCTCATCAAATCAGGTCTTCCATGCGGGTGACGGGCTGACTGGCCACAAACTTACTAGGCTGGATTGTTAATTCGNAATTCGCACTTAACTCACAGTTACTTGTGAGTGGTGGTGTGGGATAATTGATATTGCTTTGAACTGACCAGCCTTCAGACTTGACCTTCACTCACAATCCAAAAGCGAAAACGTGCCCGTTAATCGGAAGGGATAGGTGGCACCATTTACGCAAGTAAAATTGCCTATGAGTAGTTCACCAAACACGCAGGTGTCCAGGTGCTTACCCTTACCTAATTTTTACTTTTGTACTACCAGTTCGTGCGTAAATTCAAGTGAGCTTAGACACCTCGGATGGTCACTGCTCACTTTTTCAATTTATGGAGATATCTTGACTCGTTTCCGTAGTCCATAGATAATTCAAAGGCCTAATTGCTCTATCCTCTCATTGATTTTTTTGAACAAAATCCTAAGTTGACAACCCAGCCTAGAAGTAATGTTCTAAGATGTACTATTTGGAGATTATTTTAGCAGGTTTTCGAAGTACTTGGCCGAACCATTTAAGTCAGAACCACTGTAGAAACAAAGTGAGTTTCTCAAGATTGTTGCACCGTTGTTGGAAACTCGTTCTTTTGGTTTTATCATCCAGATTCATCGGAGGCACCATTGTTCAAATATTTTGCGAAGCTTGTCCAATAGTGTTATCGTGAGTGAACACACTGAGACAAAACACTATCATCTGCGAATTCGCTAGGACACCCAGGAAAGTGATGAAACGGTTATGTGAATGCTTTTATAAACAGCAATTGCGGCGGAAACTCCTTGGGTGGTAACATGCGAACCCCCATCAGAATCGGAATTAGGAAGCTGCATTCAATCATTAAAGAAAGGAAAGGCTGCGGGACCTGATGGGCTTATCCCTATTCTTTTCAAGGTGGGCGGAGATTCTCTTGTCGACTCGATTACTAGCTTACTTCACAGCATTTGGACGGACGAGCGTATCCCTTTGTCCTGGGTTGAATCGATGATCGTCCCTATTTTCAAGAAAGGATCACGCGACGACTGTGCTAACCACCGTGGGATTAGTTTAGTTCCGATAATCACAAAANCTGCGTCAAGTCCTCGAACTGCGTCACACACATCGTCGGCTAACAATCGCAGTGTTCCTTGACCTAAATGGAGCCTTCGATTCAGTTGACCGTGAAGCTCTTCTGGGGTCGCTGCTCCGCAAGGGAATGCCGCGGAAGTATGTAAACCTATTGCGGTCGTTGTACCTGCATACTTCTGGTAGCGTAAAGGTCTACAGTGGGCTAAGTAAGTCATTCGAAACTAAGAGCGGTGTCCGTCAAGGGTGCCCTATTTCGCCATTCCTGTTCAATTTCGTCGTAGACAAAGT